ATTCCAGGAATGGCTGATTGAATACCATTCAATTTTCTCCTGCTTGATTGAATGATGGCTCGGATACTTTTCAACTTACTCCTGATCCCTCCTGATATCACAATAAAAGGATTTTTTTAAGGCTTAAAACTGCGACCATGAGACAACAGTAACAAACCTTAGAACCTTGAGAGTAGAAACTTAAACCTTGAGAGTTGAAACTTAAATTAGCAGCAGAGAAAGTCAAGACCAGTGAATTGTATGCCACAGAGTCCCCAAAAGGCCCTGGTGGAAACAGGGAATAATGAAGTGATGAGCAAAATAAAGAGGATCTGTAAGGAACATGGGGTAACTTGGGGCTCTTTTTTGCCTCTCCACACCAGTCTGTTCAGCTGCCACCCGTAGCTTTGTTTTCATCCCAGATTTCATTACCCACACGTGATACTGTATTATTGCAAAAAGTGCTTGAGAGCAGGAACACAGGGAATGTGCACCTGTAATTAAGGACACCAGGGCCTAGAAGCCAGAGATAGTGGGGGCTGGGAATCTCAGTTGCTGCCTTCCTGCTGGTCTGCCTGTGTATATGGTCTGCTGGTTCAGCATTAACGACAAGTCAGATATGCCTAAGACTCCAACATTCTTTTTCCATTAGCCCAAATCAATGGTGAACCTGCCTGGCCTATAACAGCTGCACAACAGGAGCTCTTGACTTCTTTGAGGCAAGACCAGGCATCAACTCTGTAAAGCTGAGTGATTGCTCCTCTACAACCTGGCAAAAGTCTGAAGATACATATTCTGGAAAGTCTAAAACATAAACCCCAGGTAAAGAACAAGACATAATTTGCTGGGAAAGGGTACTATAATGAAAGAGGGGTGCAGTGAACACAGCATGCATTTTGAGATGTTCACATACACCCTGCATCCTGCCCTCTCCTCTTTTCCCATTTGGTTCTCAGAAAGCTAAAGACCTGGCCCGGCAGGAGAAAGAAGATCTCTAGGTGATGTGAACAGTCAGAGTGGAGCGTGATAGAGACACTGACATTGGTGGTTCCCCAAAGAGCAATGGACAGCATCGTAAGTGCAGCTGCTGTCAGTGAGTCACACTCACAGGTACCAGGCTCAAGTAGTCTGTTTTCTGTTCTTGAATATAACAGACAAAATTTGACCACCTGACATGTGAGGAAAGACTCTAGAATGAAAGCTAGAATCTAAAACCAAATATCAATTCGCACCATAGAGAATTCAGAGATATTCAGACAGTGAGAAGCTCTATAGGATGAATGACTTTCTTCAACAAATAAATTGCATGGCAAAAAAAGAGAGAAATAGGCAACCGACAGATTAAGAGAGATTTAGAACATAGATTAACCAAGGGCACTACTTGGACCTTATTTGAATATTGATTAGAATAATCCAATCAAAAAATAAAGTTAGAGTAATTTAAATATCAGTCACGAATTTGATATTAAAGAACTCTTATTATTAAATCTGATGTTTTAATTGTCCTTATATTTTAGAGAAATATATTTATGAAGAAAATTGTGAGATTGCTGGGATTTACATTGAGACAACTTGGGTGGGGTAGGGAATGACTAAATAAATATGGCCATGGGACAGGGGACACATGACTTCTTTGTACTATTGAGAAAAGAGGACATTTGTGAAGTCATTTTCAAAATAGAGTCCAGGAGGGGCCACCCTGGTAGTGAAGGGGTTAAACCTTAGTGCTATCAAGCTGTCACCAGCCATTGTGGCCTGAGTTGAATCCCCAGCCAGGGAGGTGACCCACATGGCACAGCAGAACTCCCCCATTTTGCCTGCTGTGGATTTCAGTAGATCCACCTCTTCTCCCCATTCTGTTTCTGGTGAATCTATTCACCCTCCTCCACCTCTGAGCTACACCCCAGTTTTTGAATGTATAAATAAATAAAAATAAATCTTAAAAAAAAAAGAAGAATCCAGGAGTCATTATGGAAAATTTACTTTATCTCCTTTGAATTGGGCCAAAAGCAATTGTTTTAAGAAATCACCAAGCTCACAATTGTTTGACAAGTCATTGTGAGAACTGGTGACTATGGACTTCTAGCAAGAGAACAGCATCAGTTAAGTTTTCATCCTTGCTAGAGAATCAGTAACCAATTACATTTGA